TCCTCATCCTCTCTGCAGGACACACACCTGGGCTCCCAAGGTTTGCTTTGGGCCTCCTGAGACACAAATTTTGTTGTTTCAAGTAAAAAATTGAGGAACCGATGGCATTGACAAAGAAATGAAAGGGAAATGGCAAAGGGAGTTGGTGTGGAAAGCTCTGGGTGCTGAGTTTAATCTCTGCTTTTATTTCTCCCTTTTGCTGTTCAGAGCCCAACTCCAGCCCAACCATAATTAATAATAACTCTAATTATAAAAGATCACCCAACTGGAGAYCGGAGTGAGAGCAGGACCCCCCTGCCATGGGTTTGAACTGAAAGAGGGCAGGTTCAGATGGGATTTTGGGATGGAATTCCTTCCCTGCGAGGGTGGGGAGGGGCTGGGATGGAATTCTCAGAGTGGCAGTGGCCGTCCCCGGATCCCAAGGCTGGTGTTTGGATGGTGGGAGGTGTTCCTGCCCTTCCAGCCCCGATAATTCCACATTTCCACAGCAAGCAGCAGAGCCCCGGTGCTCCCAGCAGTACTCACTGGTTGAGGAAAGCAAAGAGGTATCTCATGACAATCAGGGTGGCCTTGGGCAGGTTGAGCAGCACCTTCCGCACGTGCAGCGCCCGCTCCTGCAGGTTCTCCATGGCTGTGGGGACACAGAGCACCAGGGTCACCCTCCYGCTGTCCCCACAGCCACACCAGTGCCCTGTGCTGGGCAAACTGGGCAGCCACCTTCACCACCATTTCACCCAGTTATCCTTGCTCTGAAATGGATGAAGCAGCAGACAGAAATCCTGAGAGTTTTGGGGCTGTGCGATGGCTTTGTGACAGAAATCAGCACAGCAGCACAAAGCCAGGCAAAACAACCCAAAAAAAAACTCGTTCTGGAGTCAGGAAAAGAAGGGGAAAGGGAGGAAAGAGACGTGGGAGAGGAGAAAAATTGATTTTATTTCTTTGMAGGTCTTCATTTACTTACTGACACAGGCCATCAGGTCATGGAAGATGTCCTTGGGGAAGAGGGGGTGCTCCAGACCTCGGAAATAGAGCTTGAGGACTCCTGCTATGGAATCCATGTCGTGGTCATTCTGGTCCCCAGCCAGGGGATCCTCCCCTTGAGAGAGAGGAGAGAAAGGCAGGGGAGAGAAATGAGAACCTGGGGGAAAGCACGGGAACTGGGGGAGGATGGAGCTGGGCAGGAGAAACGGGGTTTGGGCAGAATGGGGTTTGGGAAGGAGAATGGGGTCTGGGGAGAATGGGAACTGGGGGAGGATGGAGCTGGGCAGGAGAATGGGAACTGGGCAGAATGGGGTCTGGGCAGAATGGGGTCTGGGCAGGAGAATGGGAACTGGGCAGGAGAATGGGAACTGGGCAGGAGAATGGGAACTGGGCAGGAGAATAGGAACTGGCCAGGAGAATGGGAATTGGACAGGAGAATGGGGTCTGGGCAGGAGAATGGGAACTGGGCAGGAGAATGGGAACTGGGCAGGAGAATGG